GCTCTTAGATATACAGATTCAAATATGTAACAACCTTTACATGAATATGAAGATCTATAAGCAAGCTGTCTCTTTACCCATTTTTTTTTTTTTTTTGGTAGCATCAAGACGCTTCCGAATAATCTTCCTCTAAGACCAGTTCCAGGGAAAAATAAAAAACAGAAACCCCAAAAAACAAAAACTAATTGTGTCAATTCAGTTCATAAAACAGCTTATTAGTGATTTATCATTTCGAACTTGGCGGATACAGAAAAGTATCTCATTTTAATTTGTGCATTTATCCACTGAATAAAACTTCTCATATCATAGAAGCCCCAAATTTAAAAAAAGGCATAAATACCTTGTGAAATGTGCAATATTGTTAGTAAGGATTGATTCTTCAGAACTTATTTATGCTACATTTTTCTGACAATGTTTTAAGTTTGCACACAGTTGCCTCAACAAACAGAAAGTATGAGCAGAATACCTTGAACTGCATGAGGTCAAAATACAGAAATCTGTCCCAAAGGGAAGACACACTCTCCACAGGATGGTCAAAACAAAGCACATGCCAGGAACAAAGCAGCACAACAGAACATTTGGGATGATCCCTTTTAGAATCAGTTGATGGAACTGCTGAGTTATCAATGCAGACAAAAGGGCCGGGAGAACACCTCAGCATGGCTTAGGCCAGGTTATAGCCAGGGACAGAGGAGAAAAGGACAAAATTGAGAGAGGAAAAAAAGCCTGGGGTCAGCTATAATGAGCCATGAATGTGAGCATCCTACCAATCCTGTTTAATGGGGTTCATCCCTGGAAAGTTTTCTGCCCTTCCTCACACCAGCGGTTCTGTGTGTACACATCGGAGTCCAGGTCAGGGGGCTGCAAGGACTCTGTGACCCTGAAATGAGCTCAGGGAGTCAGTGGGGAAACCCTGCTGATAGGACAGAGCGCCTTTTATGCTTTAATCTGCAAGCAAGAGGATCAATATGGTGACTATTGGTGGTGGGATTGTGTGAAGGAGAAAGCGGTCCAGCCATTTAAGATGTCTCACAGGGGGCTGGCGCACCCTGACAAAAGCACAGCTCTGCTGCCACAATGACCTGTGAGACACTGGCACACCAGCTCCTAACATACTTAACATTCATTAGCGTCAGAGAGGTGGACAGATGCTCCCAGCCTTACGGACCTTCTCTCTCATGTTCTCGACATGGGGCTCATTCAGCTGCGTTTGACGTGTCTTTTATTCAGGTTACTGGGATTGTGGGCGGCGGCAGCAGGACTCAACTGTGGATTTAGGGAGACCTGGGTGGGCATAGATAAACTTACCCTCTGCCGCCTGTAGTGTCCAAAGTCACGGCAGACAGGTCGCCAGGTGTTCGTCCTGACAGGACGCCGGGTTAAAGACAACTGCGTCCTCGGATGCTTGAAATCTTGATTTCTGGTCCTTCTGTTTTCAGAAACTAACTCCAGAGCTCCTCTTCTTTCGGAAGACGACATGTCCAACAAGTTCTACTTTTTAAGTTTTCCGTTTTACCCCTCCTAGCAAGATCCTTTAACTCACTCTCCCTCCGGTTTAAAGGTGTACTGGGAGAAGGAGCAGAGTAAACTCTATGTGGGAGGCAAAAAATGCAGACCTTTCTAAATAACTGATGCTGTTAATAATTACCACATAGCTAAACTACTGCGACTCTCTTAAGTATGTTTCCCTGAACACTAAATAACAGAAGTTGGGCTCTAACAAGAATAATTTACCACAAATATTGAAGCAGGCAAACTCTAGCCCTGCTTTTCCTTCACATGTACACAAGAGAGAAGCGTTACAACAGACCAGCATTTCCAATTAAAGATTGAACAGGACTGTAGCTGAGAGTGACACAGTCCAGAGCAGAAATCAGGACCAGCTGGAGAGAAAGAGAGCTTTTCAACCTGACTCCAGACGCAACATGGATCAGGTTCTGGGCTGCCATACAGCAGCATAAATCTCCTCGCCTTAATTACATTAGAGGCACATAGTGGCAAGCTTTGTGATAACAATGGACCCCCTATCAATTGCACAAATCAGAGGCAACCAAAGTCTGTTTGTGGGTGTGTGCTGAAAAGGTCTATATCTGCATCTGCAATCTGAGCTCATTATGGAGAGTATTTCTTGGGTGGGAAGCTCTACTACTTCGTGTTTGCAGTGCAGGAAGGTTCTGGAAAATGTGTTCTTGGTTTAATATTAAGTATAATGTAGAGAGGTCACTTTCTATGGCAACCAACAAAACACTTAAATCTATAAGAAAAAAAATACATTTCTGATACAAAAACTTCCAACTTACTACCCAGTTTGAGGCTTAGAAGCGACCTTTTCTTTTTATGTTTCTAAAAGGAAAGGTAAGTTCAACATGGCTTGAATAAGAAGTAACTGTGCACAACATGTGATATACAGCAAAGCTTCTTTGGCCAATGAAAGATCAGGACCTCTCTTTAACATCTCTTCATAAAGCTGCCTTTGCCTGAGATCTCTCTCTGTTCAGCCCAGTGGGGTCTCTGCAGAGCAGGTCAGGATTATCCAGATGCCAGAAGAGCGGTTGCTAAGACACCACAAAAACAGATGTCCAAAAAGGATGGCTAGAAAGATTTGGAACCCTAAACCAAAAAAAAATCTATTTTTATTTATTGCAGCTTCATTATTATTATTTTTTCAATTAATTATTGTCCCTCCACCCATAGTTATTAGTTTATCCAGGATTGGGTCAAGAAGGAAATTGGTCCAGGGGAGATTCAGAATCCCTCTCTGCAGTGACAGCACCCAGGTCAATCAAAAGGTGTTGCCAGGTCAGGCGACATATTTAGGCCTAATCTTTGTCTTTGACATAAATATAGATCTATTTGTGTCGACACAAATGCACACATTACCACTAAAGACACTTTAGTATATATATATGGCCAGTGATGGGACTAACGGCGTTGAAAGTAACGGCGATACTAACGCCGCTACCTTTTTTAGTAACGAGTAATCAAAATTATTACTCTTACTGTAACTATAACACTGTTACAATTGCAGACACCCCGTTACTACATGTTACTCAGGTCGCACAATTAACCTTTTTTCATGATAGGACTCATGTGTGCGTCATGAGAGAGGGGAGGATGGAGAGTGAGGAGGACTCCAGCAGCAAAACAGCGTTTTCCAGATGGAAATACCGGTGTTACGCCGAGCTGCGTTTCCCCATCAGATACGGTTTCCCCTGCATCTCCGCACAGCACAGGCGGCACGATTCACAGCGCAAGCGACAGGAAACGCTCATGCTGGCTAAAGGCGCGTAACAGCCGCCCTGTGCTCGCGCCACAGGGGAACTATGGAGTGCGTGAACGATCATTAGCCTATATGGAGAAAGGGGGGGGGATGGATGGATGGATGGATGGATGGATGGATGGATGGATGGATGGATGGATGGATGGATGGATGGATGGATGGATGGATGGATGGATGGATGGATGGATGGATGGATGGATGGATGGATGGAATAGATAGACAGATATAGCTACATGTTGCAGTATCTATAACAACCCAAACACAGGATTTCAGAATTAGACATCCCCAGTTATTAATTTCATACACTCGCAAAAGTAACGCAATAGTTACTTTTACTACTAACTAGTTACTTTTATTGTGGAGTAACTCAGTTACTAACTCAGTTACTTTTTAGGAGAAGTACGTGCCCAACACTGTATATGGCAGACCCTTTGGTGACGCTGTGCTAAACATGCAACATAAACACATGCGGGTCACAGAGGGGTTAAAGCTTCAACATCATCTCTGGAAAAGAGACCGGCACAGAAAACCCACAAAGGAAGGATCCCAAACCACCTCAACTGACTTTATTTAAATGCGGAGAAGAAGAAGAAGCTCAGATTTTAGTTTCTCCTGGTGGCGAGAGTTTCTTAAACTATCTCTAAAGGTCATGCCACCCTCAAGACGTTTATTCGAGTCCCTTGTATCTGGTTTCTCAATTTTTTGCTCAAACTTACAAATTTTTTTAGCATAAGGGAGGGCTGCAACGTAAATGGATTAAATGTAGTAAGTCAAGAGTTTGCATTTTACAGTACCACATATCAGTTCACACATTAATGCAGACAAAGGCCCAATCATCCTCTTCATCTTCTGTTCCATCCTACCAGCAATCAACAGGACACCAAGATACATTATCTAATAGCTAAAGTACTGCTTAATTCATGCACTGCAAAAACGTTCTGAAAATTAGCAAAAATGTCTTTAAACAAGTGTATTTACCTTAAATTTGAGTAGGAAAATAAGATGATCTGCCAATGGAATGAGCATTTTTACCCTTAAAATAAGATAAATTAGATATTATGCGCTTGAAGTAAGAGACTATAGTCTTTTTTTCTTATTTTAAATCTAAATTGTCTTATTCCATTGGCAAAGAGTCTTACTTACCTGCTCAATTCAAGAAGAAATGCACTCGTTTTAAGAAAAATTTACTTACTTAGATTTACATTTTTTGCAGTGTGGGCTCACGTATCAAGTGTCGTATCTCCTATTTTTAAGGAAATAAATCAGCGCGAACCAACTGTGTCTTGACGTTACTCCATAACTTTATTGAACAACCCAACTTCACCAGACGTAAGGCGTCACACCCCCGTGATCCCACACACACAATCCTATTTGTCTACAGTACTCCCTGTACGTAACCTGCGTAAAGCATTAACCCTTGCCGTACTGTATTCAGATACACCACATCTCCCCCCATATTTTTTTTACTTTTTTTTTTAAAGTCCATCTAAACCTGAGGAAGAAAGCAAGGTTAAACAAAACCTGTTAAACAAACACTTCTGATTCTCTGACTATAACTGTCTTAACTTCATAAATTCTATTTCCCAAATACAACATTTTCAAACTTTTTTTTTTTTTTTTTTTTTAGTACACTTTTCCTCTGGAACTGGTACATTATAAAACAACATTTCCTGCACATTATGAACATTAACACCATCTCTCTTTTTTTTTTCTCTTTTACTCATAAGTTCAGTCTAGTGGGCTGTTTAATCACCCTTCCAGACCTGGTTCTGGGAGTAGAATCTCCCGGAGAAGGCACTGGAGACCCCAAAACAGGTGGTGCATGATCCTGCTCTAGGACCGGCAGAGGCTCCTGTTGCTGCTGTCCACCCTCATCCTGTGCTGGCGACTGGAGTGGTATAAGATGCAGGCGGTTTCGTCTTACCTCCCCATGTGGTGCGTCCACAAGGTAAGATCTCGGCGAGGTGTGCCTCTGGATTACTGACCCAGATGTTTTTGAGTCAGTTATCCACACCTCCTGACCTGGTGACAGGCCACTAAGTGGCTTCGCACGATGACGCCTGTTGAAGTTTGCAGCATCTGACATCCTCTTCTCCCTTTCTTTTTGAAACAGCAAGCTGCGGTCAGGCAGCGCAGGTTGTAGCTCAGATGGATGTGTCGGCACCGTGGTGCGGAGACGTCGACCCATGAGCAACTGTGCCAGGCTGTATCCATTTTGAAGAGGAGTGGCTCTATATGCAAGAAGAGCCATGTACGGGTCGGATGCTTTCTTCAGAAGATTTTTCATGGTCTGTACAGCTCGCTCAGCCTCGCCATTGCTACGTGGGAATTTGGGGCTACTGGTAAGGTGTTTGAACCCATATGCTGTGGCGAAGGAAGCGAACGCCTGGCCGGAAAATTGAGGCCCATTGTCAGACATGAGACTCTCTGGGATGCCGTGCCTGGCAAACATTGACTTGAGATGGTTAATCACATCCTTGGATTTTATGTGTGTCAACAGGACGAGTTCGACATATCTGGAGAAGTAGTCAACGACGAGGAGATAGATCTTCCCCCCTAGCTCAAAGAGGTCGGCCCCCAGCTTTTGCCACGGGCGCTCAGGGCAGTCTGACGGCATGAGCGGCTCACTGTGATTACGGCGCTCCTGCAGACACGTTCTACATCTGAGCACCATCTCCGTGATTTGTTGTCCGAGCCCGGGCCACCACACGGTCTGACGGGCACGTGCTTTGCACTTCACAACCCCTTGATGACCCTCGTGCAGCCTGTCCAGCACGTCGTTCCGCATTGCTGCTGGAATGACCAGACGCGTGTCCTTCAGCAACAATCCATCTTGTACAGTGAGTGTGGCCTGTTCAGGCCAGAAGTGTTTTAGGAGCGGTTCCTGCTTTGCGTGCTCTGGCCATCCGTCTGCACACATTTTCATGACGCGAGAGCACACACTGTCAGCCTCCAGCTGTGCCTTGAGTGTGTCCATAAACGTGGGACTGACCGGCAAATTGTTGACAATGCAGTCCACATAAATGTTCGTGCTCTCCATCAGTTCGGTGTCATCTGCGGTCATCTGTTCCTGATTTGGTGACCGTGACAACGTGTCGGCACTCCAGAGCGATTTCCCCGGAACATGCACGATGTTATAAGAGTAGCGCATGAGCCTCATTCGAAAACGCTGTATCCTTGGTGGCAACAGGTCGAGCGCTTGTGCGCCCAGTAAGGAAAGGAGTGGTTTATGGTCAGTCTCTAGACAGAAGTGCTTTCCTAACAGGAAGTCCCGGAAGCGCTCACATGCCCAGGTTAGACCCAGGGCCTCCCTTTCGACCTGCGCGTAGCGTTGCTCTGTGGGTGAAAGTGAGCGGGATGCGTAAGCCACCGGCCTCCACTCACTGTCCCATTTCTGGAGGAGCACACCCCCCAGTCCATACGATGAGGCGTCTGCCGATACTTTGGTGTCCCTGCTCGTGTCATACATGGCCAGGACCGGTGGAGAGGTCAGTGCCTCTTTCAGCACCCTGAAAGCCGCCGCCTGGTCCACACCCCACAGCCAGCAGTTTTTCTTTGAGAGGAGGTCGCGGAGAGCTTTGTCTTTCTCTGCCAGTTGGGGTATGAATTTCCCCACCTGGTTTACCATTCCCAGGAAGCTCCTCAACTCGCTCACGTTCGTAGGCTCTTTCATATCCCTGATCGCCTTTATCTTCTCTGGATCAGGCCTGATACCTGACGCGGTGATGACATGCCCGAGGAAGACCACCTCACTCCTGGAGAGCTCGCACTTGTCTGTATTTAAAGTTACCCCTACTTGCTCGAGCTTTCTCAGTAGGGCATGTAGACGAACGTCGTGCTGATCTTGGTCTTTTCCACATACCAGCAGGTCATCGATGTGGCAGACTACCCCATCCAGTCCTTCTATGACCTCAGCCATAACACGCTGGAAGTGCTCAGGCGCAGAGTTAATCCCAAACGGAAGACGCTGGAAATGGTACCGTCCGAAAGGTGTTATAAATGTTGTGAGCTTCGCTGACTCCTCTGCTAAGGGAATCTGCCAGAAACCTATGTTCGCGTCTAGCTTACTGAAGACCCTAGCTCCAGCTAGCATCCCTAGGCTCTGTTCGACTGATGGTAGGACGTACTTCTCGCGGCACACATACTGGTTCAAACCTGTGAAGTCCACACACAGGCGTAGTCGCTGGCTGTTCTTCTTTGGGACAACGACGATGCCAGCGCACCAATCTGTAGGCTCTTCAACGCGCCTGATGACCCCCATCTCTTCCATTCGCTGGAGCTCCTCCTTCACCTTTCCCATCAGTGGCAGAGGGATTCTCCGTGGTGTCTTTAGAGAAAATGGCATAGCGTTAGGCTTGAGCTTGATATGGTAAGGTCGTTGAATGTCGCCTAGACCCTTGCAAGGTTTTGGGTAGGTTGTCTTTAAAGAGTCCATAGTGACACTGTTGACTCTAATAAGTAAGTCCAGGGCAATAATGGCAGGTAACCCAAGCAAAGGTGTGCCCAGGTTTTTGACCACATAAACCTTCTCCTCCGTCTGCTTAGCTTTATATGTCAGCTGCAGCTTTGTATAGCCCACTACCTCTAACTGTGTCTTTCCTGGACCCAGCAAGGGTTTCTCTGGCTCATGGAGAACAGGCCTTTGTGCCCCTGTGTACAAGTCTTTCAGGTCATTTTCAGAAATCGCAGTTACATCTGCGCCAGTGTCAATTTTGAACTTCAGCCGTCGACATCCACCTCCCACTTATTGTTTTTGCATGTCACAGAACCCAGGAAGAAACTTTTCCTATCTTCTTCCTCAATGCACGCTACTACAGCCTTGTTTCTGCAGACACGCTGGTAGTGGCCTTTTTTTCCGCAGCCCCGACATTTTGCGTCGTTGGCGGGGCATTCCGCTCTGGTGTGAGAGGGACCTCCACATTTGAAACACCGGGCGCTGGGCTGCATGTCCTTGTCTCTGCCTTGCGAGCGTTGGCATGCACGGGCACCACTGCTTTTCGAGTATACATACTTCTGTCCCTTCTTTATCAGTCTGTCTATGGAGCTGCCCTCTATCTGCATCACGCTGCTAGCGTCACTCCTAAGTGTGCTCTGTTGCTTTTTTACTTCTTCCGACTGTCTTGCCATATCTATGGCTTTTTGCAGAGTCAGATTCCCCTCCATCTGCAGTTGTTCGGAAAGTCTGGTGTCTGCAAGCCCCACTACGATCCTATCCCTTATGAGTTCATCATGCAAGTCCCCGTATTTACAGTGCTCAGCTAGAGCATGCAGAGCAGTAACAAATGCTTCGACAGTCTCATTTGGCTCCTGTTTTCGCATATTGAAGCATGCGCGTTCAAACACAATGTTCTTTTTCACAACAAAGAAATCCCCGAATCCATTCTTTACCTTGTCGTACTCTTTCTTGTCAGCATCACTTAGCTTTAGTCCTCTCAATACATCGTCGGCTTCATCCCCCATACAATATATCAGAGTGTTAATCTGTTGCTCCTCGGAGTTCGTGGCCAAGTTGCTTGCTTGCCGAAATCTCTCAAACCTCCGGATCCATTTTGTCCACTCGAGCGGTTTATTGAAATCGAAGGGCTCCGGTGGCTGGATGTTAAATGTAGCAGTCGGTGCGTTAGCCGCCATGCTCGCTTCCCTTTGCTGCACGTCAACATTTTCCTCCCGTTGTTCGGTCATAACATCCACCAAAGTCTCTCCTTCCGTCTCTGTTGCCGTGGACCGGGTTCACTTTCAATTTTTCTTTTCCGTCATAAACACAGCACTTCTGACACCATGTCGTATCTCCTATTTTTAAGGAAATAAATCAGCGCGGACCAACTGTGTCATGACGTTACTCCATAACTTTATTGAACAACCCAACTTCACCAGACGTAAGGCGTCACACCCCCGTGATCCCACACACACAATCCTATTGGTCTACAGTACTCCCTGTACGTAACCTGCATAAAGCATTAACCCTTGCCGTACTGTATTCAGATACACCACAAAATTGTTAGATAGTTTTAAGAAAATTCAAACAGCAAAAGAAAGAAAAAAAAAAGGTTTGATGCATGCAAATAATAAACAAAATATGCATGTCATTACATTTTAACACTTTACCTGACGCAAACCAAGTAGTTGCCTTTTTCTAATTCCATTCTTACATTATGGTAAGGATGAGCACTTTCAGCAAGAAAATCAATATGCTATTTATTTTTATATAATATATAAAGCCCCAAATGGATCAAAATGTAAGATATGACCTTTTATTTGTCTCTGTTCATGTTTTGGTGGCAAATGCATAAAAATGGAGCAGAATAACTGATGTCTGTTTCTCAGGGTTTCTCTTGTCACCTTCTGGATGAGTCAGTGAAATGCGCCTAGCGTAATATTGGTAGCTTGGCCACAGTTTAAAGATCACCACTGTTTCACATTTTCTCCATTTGTAGATTATTACTCTCGCTAGAGTCTCAAAGGGTTAGATTTGTCTGGTTAGCCCTACATAGACTGAGATGTTAGTCATTTTGTATCCAATTTGTCATTTCTTTTTATGCTTTTAAAGGTCCGTTAGGTTCTTATTTCTACAGGACTGGTACTTATTAAGCCCAGGTTTGACAAGTGAAACCTGTAGCTAAATCAAGTCAATTCATGGTTTAACGAAGCAGAGAAATATATGTTTAGAAAGTCCCTGGTTGGTGTGAATAGCTTTATTCCTGACAATAAGAGCCTTTTCTCTTTATTATGATTGCATTTGATATGAAAAGGCATTAAAACTAATAAGATTAGCTGTTTCCTTACCTAAATTTAACAGAACACATCTGTAAGAGATAAGATATTTTTCCACAGTGCTTTATAGCAGATTGGGAGCATTGGTTGAATGAAAACGGCTCATCTCAATAATGGCCTACAAAAAAGTAATTTGCATTCTTGGTTGTCATTGCTGATATCCATCTATCTGATCCATTCATTTAGTAATTTTACCACAGATGTGGGCAATGCTCTAATACTATAGATTCCTAAATGTGTATATATACACAATAACACCAAATGCATACATCTGCATACAAATGCTGACAAAGCCTTCTGCAAGGCACATAAAAATACAATTACAAGTGCTATCATGCTGTTTTAAGTAAAGCAGCCCTGCCCACCACACGCAGCCCTTTGTCAGAATCAGGACTGACACTCAAAAAGCTGTGACCTGCAGCGGCTGCTGTGGGCAGCAGGCCTGACTCCAAACCCCGGTTACCATGCCATGCTGTGAGGCTGTGCTGCACTCCCTTCTATTACCCCCTGGTTAGTGCCGTTATTTTCTAATCTCATCAATCTGTCAGCTGAGCCATTTGACAAAAAGCACAATATGGCCACCGTATTTCATTGAATAGGTGCGCTAACTTTCAGTATGGCTCCAGCATTTTTAGATTAGTCAGCTCATTCACAAGGGACAGCACTACACTGGCTCCACCAGTATCTAACTGGTGTTTGAGCTTATTTTCCACCACAGGAAGCTCCAGCCATGAGTCAAATTATCCAACACCCCATCATCAACCAGAGAAGAGAACAATTTCAAATAGGTCAGCTTCTTCTTCGTACCTAAGCGTTGCCTTTGCACCTCTTGATTTCTAAATTTCAGATCGGTAGACAAACTAACCATTTAGCAATTTTATACAAGTTAATTTCTCTACTTAGTTCAGTTTTTCTATTGAATTTTATTTTTCAATAACCTTACATTTAGACATAATTAACTTATTTTAATACCTTTTTTTTTAAACACACAAAAACTTTATATGTTTTGCTTTTCATCCAGGGTTAATCTAAAATTTTAATGATAAAATGTAGTAAAATTTCAAACTTACTTAAGACTTTATTGCACCATGGATAAAAAAAATTGTATATAATTTGGTTACGTAAACGACACAGGAAGCTTTCTTCTGATTTGTTGACTGTGGTAAAGTGTGATTTTTATTTACTTTTTTTTAGTAGAAGTGCCTACTTAGATTTATCTTTTTTTTTCAAAAGCTGATGAGACACTAAATCTAAAAGATTTGGATAATGTCCTGATCTACTAAGGCAGGGATCTTCAATGTTTTCCAGGCCAAGGACCCCCAAACTGATGGCGAGATGGAGCAGGGACCCCTTAAGTATATATATTGTATGAAATTGTGTTATATCAAACTTGTCCTGTAGTCACTCTATTACATATGGAGTAATAATGAAAGTAATTTCTCCCTTTGATTATTAAAGTATTCCTGATTCTGATTCCTGGTTGATGGGACAGGTGTTGTGAATGAAACGGTTCCCAGCTTGAAAGAGTTCCTGTGTGTCGCTGAATGTGAGCATTGATGACTGAAAGACATCTTCTGCCTCCATTTATCTGTTTACTACAGTGTGTTGAATTCATGTGAACGTGTATTTAAAGACATTTCAATTAGTAGAAAAAAATGCAAGGGGGAATATTAAAAAATAGCCTAATCAACCAAAACTTTCTTGACCCCCATGCAGTACCTTAGCGGTAGGGTTGTCAAAAGTATCGATACTCAAAAAAGTATCGATACTGAAATGTTGTATCCAGATACAATCCTTGTTTTTAAAAGTATCGATACAGTGCCACCACCAGTGGCACCTAAGCAGTCATTCATCTAAAGTGCAGAATAGAGGACCATGCACTTTCTGAACACTGTGTGATTGAATAATTCTGTGCACTTTACAGTTTCAGACTTTTTTTTGTAACAGGTGTAGCTGCTGAGAATTATTTTTGTTTCTTAACCAGTTTGGCTAGTTTCATTGTTATGTCTGCAAAGCATAGCCAAGGAAGGAACACTTAATTTTAATTTTATAAGTTTTTTATCAAGCTTGCTTAATATTGTGCACAGCATACAACCTCAAAACATTGTTCTTATTGTTTATTGTATTTATTTATTGTATTTTATTTATTAATGAAAATATTTCTGTTGAATTTTGGAGTCTTTGTTTTTATCCTTGTGGTATCAAAAATGGTATCTAGTATCGAATATTTTTCTTAGTATCGTATCGAGTTGAAAAGTTTAGTATCGTGACAACCCTACTTAGCGGACCCCCTGATGAAGACCTCCGTACTAAGGGATGTATGTATAAAACATGTAGAACTTTGATAATGCATGCAAAGCTGATCTAGAGGATATAAAAGTGCTAATTCTTTCAACATGCAGCGTAGAGAAATAGTATGATGAAGGTAGCCAGCAACAAGTCTGTCATTTTAAATGGAAGCAATAACCTATGAATGAACTGCAGCCCTCATACAACCTGAAGGTGATTTTCATTTTCATTGAGTGGAAAGTTGTAAAATGGTTAATATATAGTTTATGTCTGTATGTTATTATCTTGTGGCTTCTGTTTACACAGCTGTCAGGCCTGAATATCAAAGCAGGATTAACAAACTCATTGCTCTAGCCCAAGGCTACAAACTCTGAG